ATACTCATTCATACATCATTTATCATTACGGAAACCACAAATATACACAAAATTATTCATCATCTTCATTCCCTCATTACATACATACAACAACTGCACATAATAATTTTTATTGTGTGATCTTTAGATAGTTTGATAAGGTCCAATTAGGATTATATGTAATCAATTGGATTAGAATTTTTGTAGGGGTTTCAAGATAAATTTGTTTAGGGTTTTCTTCCAAGATCAAGGATTGATTTGGGAGTTTTGCACAAGATCATAATTTAGGTTCAACCGAGTGAAATCTTCAAAGGACAGAAGTTAATGTCAAAGGAGTAATGACAAGCGAAGGTTCACTTTAGTAATCTTGTGTCATGATACGTTCGCAATTTTAATTAAGCCGAGCAAAGGCTTTGATGAATGGGGGTTATATCAAAGGAGTAGTGGTAACTGAAGGATCAAATTGGAAGTATCATGTTACTTGATCGGGCTCAAGATCAAGGGGAGAGAAAATTTGGAATCAACATTAACTATTGAGTTTAGTGGGTTGGATTGCTACTTGTTCTCTTGTAAAACTACATTTGCAAAAGTTAATTTTCATTATCTCAATTTCATTAGAATTAGGGGTAGACGTACCCATAGCGAGGCCGATTGGGGAACTACCTAAACAAATCATTCTCTCTCTCTCTCTCTCTCTCTCTCTCTCTCTCTCTCTCTCTCTCTCTCTCTCTCTCTCTCTCTATCTCTATCTCTATCTCTATCTCCCCCCCTCTCTCTCTCTCTTTTACGTTTAATTGCAAATTATGAAAACTTTGACTGTGTAATCCATACATTTAGATAATCTCATTGTTTAATAATTTAAATTGTTTTGTTGAGTAGATTAACGTCTCAAATACATAGAAAAATCTATTTTGAATCGATTGCACATCAAGTGTTCGAAAAATGGCTCGAAATCGTTTTTGGTTAATATTTAATTAGAAACCAGTTGCTATAGTGTGGTTTATATTCAAACGTAGTTTTTGAAAATATATTGATTGTTTTTCTCATTTTACGCTATTAGTTCCATCAATTTGATACATATCCAGTCTTTTCGATGACAATTCAGACAAACGATTGTTGATCCATGTTAGTTTCTGTGTGCCATAGTTAAACAATTTTAAAACCACAATTTTAATAAGAAAATTTCATTTGCGATATATTCACCCCTTTTAGATCGTAACATATTGTATAATAGTTCCTTCTCGGCTGTTTCCTTAACCTTGGGTGCCGACCCATTATCAAATTTTGGTTATCTTATAGGGCTACTATCAGCAAATTTCTTTGTCACCTTTCTGCTCTCTTAATCATTATCTGGTCTCTAACTCTAGGACCAACAACACCGTCTAATTTTTTCTCACTTTGGAGTGTGATGGCACTAGCGTGGACATTTGGGTTAGGTTGTGGTTGGCCAGGAAAAATGCTAGCTGGGGAAACACTAGTTAATTGTTGTTGGGCTTCTTGTGAGATATGTGTCTCAAGCATCTTGTTGTGGGTGGCCAAAGCATCTTCCTTATTTGCTAGTTGTTTAATCTGTTCATTCGTATGAACATTCTGGTTCATAAAATATTTATTTTGTTGAGTTTGAGACATGACAAGGTTTTCTATCATTAGCTCTAGGTTGGAAATTTTAGGTGCTGAAGGGGTAATAAAGGCTCCTTTTGAAAACCTGGAGGTGTTATGGGTGGTGCACTAAGAGAAAACAAAGCATTGTTATTCTTATTGGAGAAATTTAAATGATTTCTCCAACTAGGATTATAGGTATTGAAATATGGATTCCCTTATGCATAGTTTACCTGGTCAGGTGGGATTCTAGTCAATAGTTGACACTCAGTAGCGGCATGTCCAGGGACTCCACATATCTCCCAACTTGGAGTCACGACAACTACGTTAGCTCAGGGGTGATGGTTAAATTATTTATATTTTGGGAGAGGGCGTCTACTTTAGTATTGACGTGGTCAATGCCATTGACTTCATACATGCCTCCCTTAGATTGGGACATTTCGACAGGAGCATGCTCACTTCCCTACTGATAGTGGTTTTAAGCCATATTTTCTATAACCTGATAGACCTCCTGAAAGGGTTTGTCCATTAATGCACCACCAATTGCGACGACTATGGTTAGTCTAGTATTGCACAGAAGTCCGTTGTAAAAGGTGTAGATAATCAACCATTTCTCTAGACCATGATGTGGTTAAAGCCTCATCATATCCTTATACCTCCCCAGGATTTGAAAAGTGACTCACCATCTTTCTGTTTGAAACTGTTTATTTAACTCCTTACATAACTGCTTTACTCGGTGGCAAGTAGCATGCTAAAAACGCCTTACTTAGTTCATTCCACGTAGTGATGGAACTTGATTGCAGAGACTGCAACCAAGCTCTGGCTCAGTCCCTCGGGGAAAATGGGAAGAGACGTAGTCAAATGACTTATGGATTTACGTCATTGCTTTTCGACGTGTCTGCGTACTGCATAAACACAGGGTCCTCTATAGGGTTACAAGAGAATTGGTTCTGCTGCACGATTTACAGCAGTGAAGGTTTCAACTCAAAATTGTTTGCCTTAATGGCAGGGGGACAATGCTCGAGTGTTGCTCGTCCTGAGATGAGACAGCATAATCCTTAAGACTACGATTATCGTTCGTAGCCATAAGAGTGAATTGGGCGCGGTATTGTTCGATACGACGTCTCAAAAGAAGAAAATGCTCGACTTTCTTTATAGATTGCTCTAGCTCATCCTCGAAAGCACGAGTAATTGGCATACAACCGACAAAAATGGGAGAAAAATAACGAAAAATGCCTTAGCCTATACGACGCAACAAAAGAGTCACGATATTGACTAAATTGGTCCTCGGCAACAGCGCCAAAAACATGATACGTTCTGCAAGTGCATGAAAATATCGTAGTAATATAAAAAGTGTCGAACCCATGTATACCAATAATCAAAGTATCGTTATCTATTGCTACTATGTAAATCTAAGGTCATGAGTAATAATTTTGAGTGCAAAAGAACTAAATTAAACGAGTTTTAAGAATTAATAAGAACATAGACCATAATGTAATTTACGATACCATTGAGGCTCATATAAAACTTCGCACCTAAATTTAGTCTTAAAAATATTTTAGGGAGAAATCTTAATTTAAAAATCACTACTCATCTTTGTGCAACCAATACTGAATTTCAGAACCGTAATTGTCTGCTTTCGTGCGTTACAAATCAGAATTCCGAAATCTCTTTTTGAAAACTAATAATTTCTATTTAATTAATAAATTGTTGTCACTGTTTTTATCAATTAAAAATCTAGATTTTGATGGTCGGATACCGTTTTCACACTTTCGCTTTGAAACCAGTATCACTGTATTTTCGCTTTTGCAGTAAAATTTTGGCTTTTAAAAATAAAATCCATAACCATAAAATTACTTTTTATATTGAAAATAAGGTGCTTTTAATTTTACCGAGTCCCGTCAGTACGACGGTCCTCACATTCTGAGCTCTAAAAAACTAGCGGGACATAGCAGTTACGTTAAAACTACTGATATTAAATTGCATACATACACTAGGCATACTTAATATCATATTAAAAACAAAGCACATGCAAGAAGTAAGTAAATTAAAAGAAATAATAAAGTAAATAAACAGAATATACGTATTGAGTAGAAACATGTTCCAAAACAAGTATTGAAAAATTGTTGAATAAAATTTCGAAAATCTAATGCCGACAAGATTTTAATGCGAACAATCCAAATGTTTCTTGCAAATCTCCTGATTCTAACTCTAATGTGCACTTATTTCTCAGAGTGAAAAATAAATGCTTTTACAAACTGATATTTTTCTGCTTAGAACTCTAAAAACTTGGATGATAAAATCTGATTTTCAGGGTCCTATTTATAGCCTAGAAATGATGCCTAAACTGATGAATTTTGTGCCTTTGAGTGGAGAAGTTATCTTGGTGGGTTGAAAAATCAGGAAGTGAGGGAAGACTGAGTTTGTTGAAGCGTGGTTATTTTTCTGCATCAAAAGACCATGATGCCCGTCAACAAAGTGATGGTTTGTCCGTCATGGATCTTGTGACGGTGACATGCGTTATCTAGGTGACGACCTACCCGTCACCCACATGGCGCTGAAGTTCTCCATTTTGTTATCGTTTTGTGGTGACGCCCTTGGGACCACCACGCCATGATAGACGTCACTCATTTAGGAGGGCGTCATATCAGTACATAACTCCATTTTTGCTCTTGTTTTTGGCGTTTTGCATCTTTTCTTCGCCTGACCGCTCCTGCTACCTAAATATTTGAAACATATACCAAATAAAAGCATAACACTATAAAAGGAAAGGATAATGAGTCAAATATGCGTGTGAACCAAAAAAAATGCGTTAATTTTCTGAGTTATTAATTATTACTCTATAACAAGTGATGTCATTAAAATAACGTCGTAATCTTGTAATCGCTGGATCTAAATATCATTAAACTCTTTTAACACTCTCATACTCAATAAACTATTTATTAGGCTGAATCACAACGAACTAGACTATAAAACCATACCACAACAAAGTTCATTATTAAATGATCAATGAACTTCGATACATATATAGACCACATTCATCAAATCTTTAATGAATCCAAAAACAGATTATTATTTTTTATTAATGACAAAAAGAAACATTAGTTTATTAATTAAATCAATATTTTTTTATTATTTAAATTACATAAAATTCAAATAAATATTATTTTATGAGACAAAGACAACATACAATATGTATTTGATGTGATGTATCAATAAATATAACTTTTGCAATAGTACCATGTCAAACTTAATCTCATATGTTTTAATAAACATTACAATATTAGCTAGTCTCTAACAATTTCCTTAACCAAGATTCCACCATTATAAAAACAGAGCACCAGTCAATCACAAAACACACACCATTCACCAATTCACATTCTCTCTCCGCATTTCTTCCATTCATTCATCGCAAATCGCATATGGCTTTCGAGATCGCCGTCAAAGCCGCCGTTGGTGCTCCGACTATCCTCGGAGACTGTACGCATCTACCTCTCTTTCTCTGTCTATCGTTTTCGGTTATTTGTTCTCATTTTTCAAATTTGATTTTGTTTTGTTTTCATTTCAGGTCCATTTTCCCAAAGAGCACTGTTAACTTTGGAAGAGAAGAAGGTCCCATACACTATCCACCTAATTGATGTCTCTAACAAACCCCAATGGTACTCTAAAATCAATTTTGTTTGTTTGTTTGTGTGTATTTTGTTGAAATTTGTGGGTTATTTGTTGATTTGATGTTAGGTTTTTGGAAGTGAATCCGGAAGGGAAGGTTCCAGTGATTAAGTTGGATGGAAAATGGATTCCTGACTCTGATGTTATTGTGAAGATTCTTGAAGAAAAATACCCTGAACCATCTCTTGTTACTCCTCCTCAATTTTCCTCCGTGTATGGCCCTTCAACTTGACTCTATTTTTGTCCCTTTTACTTTTTGACACCGTTTTATTTTCATTATGTTGCTGTCACTGTTGTTTGTTGCTCTAATTTTGTTCAAATATGTATCACGGAGCTTCTTTTTCTTTCTACACATGCACCAACTTGCAAATTACATGAAAATCTGAGGTTAATTTAATTGATGGTTAATTGCAGTGGATCAAACATATTTGGGACTTTTGTGAGCTTTGTGAAGAGCAAGGATGCAAATGATGGAACAGAGCAAGCTTTGGTTGCTGAACTCAATGCTTTGGAGGAACATCTTAAGGCCAATGTATATATGTGAATTACATTCAACAATCTTATTTGTTGTTAAGTTTTTTTTTTACCTTATGGTAATTGCTTATTAGCCAATCTAATATGTTGGAGGTATGTATGGTAACTCAGGGTCCATATGTTGCTGGTGAGAAGGTCTCTGCTGTTGATTTGAGTTTGGCACCAAAACTTTACCATCTAGTGCTTGCCCTTGGCCACTTCAAGAAATGGACTATTCCTGAGAGTTTGACACATGTTCACAACTACATCAAGGTAAGCAACGGGTTGGTTTGGGTCGGTCTTAACTCTGAAATTGTGAGTTGGAGGATGGATTCATCCCGTTAAAACGTGAATGGGTTAGACCAAACCCGGTTCAACCCAATCCGTGTACACTCTTACTGTAATGCATGAAAATGGTTTTGATACTATTTAAGCATTGCCATTGAACATATGTGCAAACCGGCGCGTTGAAATTGCTTGGTATTTTGTTATGAGAATTTTTACCTATGAGACACACTGTGTATGATTCGATTGGTTGATAGATATTAATGTTATATTGCAGCTGCTCTTCGCTCGTGAATCATTTGAGAAAACCAAGGCCGAAGAGAAATACGTCATTGCAGGATGGTTGCCAAAGGTCAATCCATGAAGTAGCTCGAAACTATGAGTTTAATGAACAACACCAGACATGCACTGTGATTGAAGATTAAGAAATAAGAGTAGTATGTTGTAACTTATCATTTTGAACGGTTTAATTAGTATGTTGTTCTCTTCTATAATAAATGTGTGGTTTGTTCATGCGCGTTTTGTTGATCCATGGCTGGTAATTTTCGTCAATCAGGAAACATCATGGATTATAACTATGATGCTCCTGAATGATTTCTTAATTGCGTCAAACTTTAGATTACCGTAGTATTTTCTCTTTATACGGAAATCTCAATTTATGGCAACTTAGAGAACTGATTGAAGGAAAGCAACATGTTTTCTTCTAAAAAATTACATAGGTATATACATGACATGAATATTTACATACGTACTGTTTCTGAAATCATATGGCTGATGTTCTTGATCATTAAAATACCATAATACTAGTGATGATAAAGTAGAGAGTATCTTTGCTCTGAGTTTTTTGGCTTGTACCTACATTGGTCATAATTTTCAACAGATGAATTACTATATTATTTGTCGTCTTGTTGTGGATTTTTAGTGGAATCCAATGTTGAAATCATATTCTTTATCACGTGACTTGTCTCTTCCTTGGACCTCATCGTTGACTTCAAGTATGGCTCAAAGAATTCTTGGTTTTCTTTCTCTAGCTCATTCTAGGGGTGGACAGAAGAGAACCACCCGAAAATACCCGCCCGAACCGAATGTATATAGCAGCTGCAGATCGGGTTATTTCGGATGCACGGGTTGATCGGGTGAGATAATCGGGTAAGCATGGATAAATCAAGTCGGTTTCGGTTCAATTAGTTGGGCCCGTCGGTACTCGAATCCGACCGGTCCAATTTGATGTGTTTTCTTCTTTTCAATTTCATGTAATTACCGGTCCAATTAGTATATGCCCCATTCCATCAATTTTCCTCTTTTCATGTAATTTTCTTCTTCTTCTCAGTTCTAAAAGAAAAACCCTAAAAGACAGTAACAATGTTACCACCGGCGCCGTCACCCCAAGCAAAACCCCTAACGTAAACCATCCACTGCGCCGCCGTGTCGTCCTCAACGAAATCTCTTCCACTGAACAACGAGCTCTACCACTGCGCCGCCGTGTCGTTTCTTTGTTTTCAAAGAGGTTTGTGTTCAGATTTTTATTTTTTATTTTGATTTGTTCTTTTTTCCAATGGATTAGAAACTCGGTATTTATTCTAAACTCGTCATTTTCGTCACATAGGAGAAAGCTTTTTTCTGAGTTCAGTTTTGGTGTTGGAGCTATTAAGGTTCATATAAACTCAGTATTTATTTATTTATTTTCGTTTCAATAGTTCAAATACAATGTTCAGTTTTTGTTGTTTTCAATATTTTAATCACTGTTGTTGTTTTCATTACAGTGTTACTGAGAAATCTCTTCAGAGAATTGAAGAAAGTATGTGTTAGTTTTGTTTTATTTTGTTCTAATAACTTTAAAAGAGTTCAGTTTAAATTTGATTAGCTCTAATAACTTTGAATATATTGTTTTAAATGCAAAGAGGTAAAGAAATGCAAGGAGTTGGACATGGGCATGGAGTTGGACATGTGCAAGGAGAGGGAGATGAGCATGGAACTGGTGGAGTTAGAGATATGCAAAATACCGGTAATTTTAGGCTTACTTTGATGTTTTTTTAGTATAATTTTGGCATAGTTTTTTAAAACCTAAACACCAACAAATTGTTTCAGCATCTAGGCAACACACACCAAATGCCAATGAACATTCCCAACCTAATCATCAAACTACAACAATACCCGAACTTCCACCAACTAACCCAAGGAAAAGAAGACGCAATGCAAATGGTAATAGAAAGAGATCCGAGGTTTGGGATCATTTTAACCTTATTCCTAATAGTGACCCACCAACAGCTGCTTGTAAGTACTGCCATCAAAAGTATATGTGTGACTCTAAGAAACATGGAACATCAAACTTAAAGAGTCACATGAAAACATGTCCCAAGTATCCGTTGAACTTGTCCACAGACACTACCCAAACAATCTTGTCATATTCAACAACTGAGGAAATATTAAGTTCTAGGTTTAATCCTGTAGCTTGTCGAAGTGGGTTGGCTTATTTTATCATTTTGGATGAAAAACCATTTAGTACAGTGGAAGGAGAGGGGTTTAAGTACTTTTGTAGGCAGATGCAGCCCCAATTTTCTATACCGTCTAGGCGAACTATAGCTAGAGACTGCTTTCAGTTATATCTTGATGAGAAAGTGAGGTTGAGGGCGTTCTTTAATTCTGATTGTAGTAGGGTGGCAATTACAACCGATTGTTGGACATCTGTCCAAAATCTGAACTATTTGACCCTCACGGCCCATTTTATTGATAGAGAATGGCAATACCAAAAGAGGATAATCAGCTTTACGAGTATCCCAAACCATCGGGGAAAAACTGTTGGTAAGAAGGTTGAAGATGTTTTAAAGGAGTGGGGGCTAAGAAATGTTTCTACCATCACGGTAGATAATGCCACCTCAAATGATGTTGCTGTTAAATATTTAGAACAAAAAGTAAGAAACATGAATGGCCTCTTAATGGATGGATTTGGTTTTCACATGAGGTGTTGTGCACATGTGCTGAATTTGATTGTGAGAGATGGATTACAAGTTGCCAACACCTCAATTTCAAGTGTGAGAAATGCAATTAGGTTTGTTAGATCTTCACCCCATAGGGCTTTAAAGTTCAAAGAATGTGTGGAGTATGCTGGGATTTTATGCAAGAAATCAGTATGTCTTGATGTTTCAACTAGATGGAACTCGACATATTTGATGTTAGATTCCGCGGAGAAGTTTCAAAGTGCTTTTGAGAAGCTAGAAGATGCGGATGAAGCCTATAGGGATTTCTTTGAGGTTGACTCCCCCCCTAGTAGTCAAGATTGGGATAATGTTAGGGTTTTTATTAAGTTTTTGAAGAACTATTATGAAGCCACAAAGATTTTTTCTGTTTCCACAAAAGCAAGTTTGCATACTGCTTTTCCATACCTTGCTTCAATTTACATTGAACTTAAGAGGTTAAATATGGACCTTAATGGATTGTTTGCTGAGGTGGCTAGGGATATGCTGGAAAAGTATAGTAAATATTGGGTTGATATCACAAAGATGAACCAACTCCTTTATTTTGGTGTTATCTTTGATCCCCGATATAAGTTGAGATTTGTGGAATGGTGTTTTGATGATATGTATGGAAAAAATTCGGAAACTAGTAAATCACTATTAAAAGATATAAATGACAATCTTTTAACCATGTTCAACCTTTATAAACAACAATACGACACTGCTGGAGGCTTAATTCCATCTGTTGCAGCGGCTGTTTCTCATGGTGAAACAGCAGCCAGCGATGAATTACCCACATCCGTAGCTAGGGCAAATGCGTTTCAACAACATTTGATGTCTTTGGATGCAGTTGAAGAAGAAACTGAACTTCAAAACTATATAAAAGGAAAGTGCATAAGTTTTAATGAAAAGGATAAAGACACTTTTGACATTCTTGGTTGGTGGAAACATCATGTCGGGAAATACCCAGTTCTGTCCCAAATAGTTAGGGATATCATGCCAACGCCAGTGTCAACCGTAGCTTCTGAGAGTGCTTTTAGCACGGGTGGAAGGGTTTTAGAGGTATATAGAAGCTCTCTCAAACCAGAAATGGCGGAGGCATTAATTTGTGCTCAGAACTGGTTGAGGCCTTCCTTTTACCAATTCAAAGACTTGGAATTCAATGAGGAGTATGAGATTTCGGAAGATGCTTTACAAGGTATTATTTTTATCTTAAGTGTGGTTGTTTAATTTATTTTGTAATATGTTGCTGAAATATTACTTTCATTCCCTGCTGCTCACCTCAATGTCAATGCCTTTTAATATGTGTAATAGGATTTGCTGAAATTTCGTCTGCTCAGACTCAGTCACAGCCTTCTGGCTGTGCTTGAAACAACTTCAGGTTAAAGACTTCCTGAATATTCAGAAGCTAAATTTGCAGTAGTTGTAAAATTGTATGTTTTCTAATGTTTCTAGTTGTATTTGCAGTATTGCTGAATTTTTTGGAGTCTTATGACTCATTATTTTGAAGCCACAACACAACCAACGACTTTTGATCCAAGATACTTTTGAGAGCGTTGTCCAAGAACTAAATATCGATAGTAAGTTTAATTACTTGCTGATTTTTTTGTTTAATATGTGTATACATGCTGAACAGTTTTGATTCTTGCATTAAGACCGCGTCTTCCGGCGTTTTTGAAGGCATAACTGTCAATTTAGGCCTCTGGGATACAGCTGGTATTTTCGCTTTCTCACCCTGTATTTTTCTCTTATTTTCGCTTCAAAGTCTCATTCAGCTGCAAAGGTGATGATCAATTTTACCCTTTTTATATTGCTAGTATTTGTTTCACAGGTACAGAGCTTATATTGCTAGTATGTGCTACTGACGGCCATGATGATGTTAAACCTTTTGCGAAGTGCCTGAGTGAAATTAAAAGAACTATATGTTATGCTCCAGAACTTTGGTTAAGCAGGTATTGACTTGTAAATCTATGGAAAACTAGTGATTCTATAGCAGTGCTATCTGTAATGTAGCACTAGTTGAACAAATCACTATTGTTTTGTGACACACTATCGAATTCAAAGTATTGCCGACATAACAAAACTTGAACAAACTGTAATTTTCTGCGATCTGCAATCAATTTGTTCTATTAAAATGGCATACAATGTGGTTGGTTGCTCTATAGTATTTTCAGAAGTCATACACTCTGACCTTTATTCCATTAAATTTTTATATTGCAAAGATTCGTTATCGTCCCCTTCAAAGAAAATATGTATATAATCTCTCCTTGTTCCTTAATTATGATTGAAGACTAAAAAAAACTAGACAAAGCTGCAACATTTTGATAACCACGTTTTGCAACTGCCAGATTGCAGAACACCATGGAAGTAGTTTTGTTAAAATATCTGTATATTAAATTTATGTAATTATTTATTGGTACAGTGTACCAACTACCTTGACAACTACTGAGAACAGACCTTAGGTGCTATTCAATTACAATATATATTATAACATGTGTTAATTACTTAATTGTTGACTTCTACATATCATTTGATTTTTCTGTCATGCACTATTATTGTGGTTTATATTTTTCTCTTGTTACAGGAAAAATATGTCTTCAAACATCCACAGCCAAAACGACCACGGTCAATTAGAATATATGAGTCACACATTGGAATGAGTAGCCCGGTGCGTACTTTTTTGCTTTCTCTAATTTGATGTCAATAAGTGATTATTTTCTTTTCCCTTTCTTGGTTGCCTTATTGGGAAGTCAATAATCTATTACATCAGAAACGATGGTTATTGTTTATTATCAATGGCAAAATGTCAAAGACTAAACTTTTTTTTTTGCCAACCCAAGCAACTTCATGGTTCATGGAAGCACTATGCCCTTAGCTGACCGTAGGTAAAGCCCCATTGTTTGACATTCGACATACTCTCTCACCTTTTGGGACATGTTCATCTGTCTCGGAAGCTTCACCCAGAATCATTACTATCAAATTTATTGATGGGAAGCACTGCCCAGAAAGAAATATCATACTTGAAACATCTCCCCTCATCCCTTTCACTTTCTTAGAAGTGACAATATTAAACTTGCAAGAAAGCAACATAATTATTTCTTTACAGAAAGTTTTATTCCCGATTGCCTACAAATGGAATTGAATTGACTTGCACTACTAAGTAGATAGACACCACTCAGAACTAAGTTTTATATCCTTGGGCAAATGTGACTTAGCTGACCTAATGACATTCAGAGGATTCCATTCTTATTTAGTTATTCTCAAAACAAAAGTTACTCTATTTAGAAATGCCAAGCTGCAAATAGTTACTTGTTTTGAAATTGCATCGTTTATCTTTATTATGAAGTGAAATCATCTTACGGTTTACAAAAGTAAGGCTAGTTAAACTGATTCCTCACTCTTCCAATACATGCTAAGTGAAAGGCGTTAGTTGTTTGTTACATGCAAACAAGGCTTTAGATTTTTCTTTAAAAAATTATTTATTGAATTATTTCCTTGCAATGAAGACATTGCTCTCATTAATACAATCAGTGTCTTTCAGATTTAAATACAGAATATTTTGCGTAATAACAGAGTTAATCTATAAAGTTCAATGAAATGTCTATTCAGAGCTAGTATTTTTTCTGTTACTAATAATGCTTTGAACCATGTGGTGCAGGAGCCAAAAATCAACACATATGCTAATTTTAGAGATGATGTACTACCTCGCATTAAAAAGCTTGGCTATAATGCTGTCCAGATTATGGCTATCCAAGAACATTCTTATTATGCTAGTTTTGGGTAGTTCTTCTAGAATGCCTATCCAGTGTTATCATTAATCATAAAAGTTTCCCTCTTCCAAATTGCCGATAGTTCCAATGTTATTTAAAGAATAACTGGCCATTTATGTTCTAAATTTCTTGTTTGTTAGAGCATTAGTGTCTCCCCCCTAAAGTTGATGGCCTGACTTTAAAAAGATTGTTCTGCATGACACAGGTACCATGTTACTAATTTCTTTGCACCTAGCAGTAGGTTTGGAACTCCAGAAGATCTTAAGTCTCTGATAGACAGAGCCCATGAACTAGGTCTGCTTGTTCTGATGGATATTGTACATAGGTAATGTTTATACCTTACACGCTAAATATTCTTTTCATTTTTCTGGAAATATCTTGATAAGCTTCTAAAAACTTGAAGAACCCTCCTGTAAAAGCTAGCTATCAAGGGGGATGACCAAGCAGCTAAACATCTCCTACTACTCGATGTGGGACTTAGGCAACCAAAAAGATGGTGACTCTAGAGCTGTGTTGGGTACAAGGGAGAAAGATGGTTCTCTTGCTGCAGTCCAATTATAGTTCTTGCCTTGTTCAACAGTAGCATCAGACTGTCACGATGATAAAGATCAGGTAGCGTTTAATTTTTGAATGTTTTGATTTTGCTTTTTGAAGTTGTGACTTGTGAATGCTGTTCTGAAATGCGAAGTGTGACTTGTGAATGTGTTATTTTATTGTTGATTGTGTGACTTCTGAAATGAGAAGTGTGACTTATTATTCTTTAATTTATGCCTGCCTGTGAAATTATGACTGAAAAATGGACTTTTAAGTTACTCTACTTGGATGTTAAAGAAGGGAATGGGGTTTATGCTTTTTATATATCTTATATAGGAACTGCTTTCATGTCCTGTCATTATAGCTTTAGACAAGATTCATAAGGGCTTTAGTTGTTGGCATGATGCAAGAAAAGAAGAAATAGATTTTGTGTCCCAGCTTCTGTTGTTTTAATTTTGAATAGTAAAGATGCTAATATATACTTCATATAGTTCATGAGTGAGAATTGGTGAGTACCTCTCATATAGTTCATATGAAGTCAAATACTGTAGTTCCAATTTACTTTAATTTTTTTGTTAATTATGTTTGCAAGTGCCATAAATATCTGTAATTACTATACTATTTAGTTTAGCAATTGTTTGTCCATGTTTAGCTTGAGACTGTTTCATACGGAACAAATAGCTTTTATGCAGGAGTGCAGGAGTGCAAGAAGCTTCCCGGTTATTTTATGGAATGGATTAATCTCAAAGAATTGGAGTTTATATGTTGGTTGTGTTACTATGTAGGCTTTGCTAAATTTAATTGAATTTGTAATGTATTTGATACCTATTTAAATTGGAATTTGTAATCTATTTAAATTGGAATTTTTAATGTATTTGAATTGGAGTTTGTAATGTATTTGAATTTGATACTATGTTAATTTGTAATGTTTTTTAACTATGAATTTATATTATAGAGTATGTCATTTTTTTTTTTGGAAATTTTAAGTAGTTAAATGAAAATTTTGAAAACTGTACAAAAAAAAAGGGGGTAAAACTACTAAATTCTGAATTTGGGCTTAATATTTCAATAAGCCCATTAAAAATGGTACCCGAAATTAATCCTATAGATACCCGAAATCGATGCAACCCGAACCCGACTAATCCGAATCATAATTGGGTCGGATTTGGGTCGTAATATACCACCCGTGGATAACTTCGGATTGGGGGTTTGGGCCCGAACCCGAACCGGCCCGAACCGGTGCCCACCCCTAGCTCATTCCACACTGCGTTTCATAATGTATGTTATTTCAATTCAACACATGTGTATGCACGTGCATGGTAGCGTTTGATTGTACACCCTCTCGTGGCTATTAAAAAATCACTATTATAAATTACTTTTACTTTCTTTTTTTTATGTTATATAGACTACATATATTAATAATTAAATGTATAAAAAAAATGTAAGAGTTACTTATAATAGTGAAAAAGGGTGAATGTTGTTTCATGTGTGGTGGAAATAGATTATACTAAGTTTGCATAAGATATCATATAAATAAGAATTGACATAAATATCAGGTGCGTTTGTGTTTGGATTGAACAATAAGTTTCAGTGTAAAAATGAAACTAGAATCAATTCTGGAACATAATCAAATCTACTTTTGATAAAACAAACAACTCAAAATCACCTTGAATCAATTCTACACCTCTAGAATTGATTCTAGATCTCCTAAAAGTCAATCCATCCAAACATGTTAATAGTCTAGTGTGAGTATGGTTCGGTTACCACAAAAATGATTTATGTTTAAATAAATTTGTGTCAAAGTGAGTTAAATCATAAATATCAGTGAAAAAATCACGATTAAAGTTATTAAACACATAAACTATAAATCTTAGTGTGTAGAAGTGTTTCAAACCGAACCAATCCAATAGAAAATTGTAAACAGAATCAAACCAAAATCGTAAAAAATCGCATTTGGTTCTGATGTGTTTGGGTCATCTTTTAATAAAATCGCATGATTTGGTTCGGTTTACGGTTTATATTTTACAAATCGAACCAAACCGAATCAAACCATATTATGTTACAACCTAAATTTTACTTAACTCACATCCAACCAAAACGTAAACCTATTATATCTTAGCCTTATAATTACAAACAATTTTCTCATTCTTACACTTATGATTTCAATTTCAGTCTTCTCAAATCTCTCCTAACAGTATTGCGTCTTCTTTGTCAGATACATCTTGCATCTTCTTCTCTAATTTTTACTCTCTTATATTTTTTTCTTTTTCACTTCTCATTTTTATGCAAACATTCTCTCTTTCAATTTCATTTTTATTGCACATCTTATTCTCTAATCTCTCCTCTCTTATGTTCCTTCTTTTTCATCTTCAGTAATCTCTTATCTCTTATATTTTTTTTTCATTATAATATTTTTGATATTGTTTTATTTTATTATTTTATATTTATTAGTTCACTTTTGTCTAATTTAAATTTTACTTATTAAATGGGAAGTTGTTGTCCAAATATGATTAGTTTTGTTGTTATTTGATAGTGTGTGAATGACTAAATACAAAGTTATGTTGTCATCATATATGTATGTATGACTCAATGAAATATTTGTAAAAAAACTGAACCGAACCAAACTGCATTGGTTTGATTTCACTTGGTTCGGTTTTTTTCTAAAAGTCAACCAAATCAAACTAAATCACATATTTTTTTCTCTTACAGTTCAGATGATTTTTAGCGTCAAAATCACTCAAAGCACACCACGAACACTCCTATTAGCGTGTGTACGATTTTGCGATGAAAATAATTGATTCTGAGTGAATTGATTATGTAAAATAGATTATGGGTTTTAAGTCATTCGAAGATAAATTGATTTATGTTGGGACAAATTTTTAAAAAAATTTAAAATAAGAATTCAACTGTAAATTTGAGTATAAGTAATCTATTCAAGAAAGTAAAATCAATTCCACTTAAGAGCAATCAAACATGTCAAAATTAATTCTATACTCGAGAGAAATTAAATATGTCAGAATCAATTTTATATAATCAATTCACTCAGAATCAATTATATTAACTCGAAGTGTGGTATACAATTACATCCAGTAGTGTTATAGAGTGTCACATATTTGCATAACACATAATATAGAGAGATATCCACCTAAGCCACCTTATTAAGAAATATTAAAAGATGAGCATGTTAGGGCAGATTATGTCGTTGAAGTATTGATGATATGTCAGCGTATTATGGCCTTTGAGAGATCAGATATAGAGAGAGAGGAGAGTTTGAAGAAAACACTCATGAGACGACTAATGTACAAGCCACGATAGCCAAGACACAGTATGTCTTGAAATACAGAAGGCAGGGGGGGATCAAATATGTTCAGTAGTTGACTTTTTCTTTTTCTTTTATTTATAACATTTTGATAATTTAAATTATGGTTTGTAATTTGTGAAAAATTATGTTTGGTTATTTAATAACAAATGATGTACGGTGGTAATATCATTACCTTCATTTTGACTTAATATGTGGTACTTTAATTAAATTACAAATGTCCATGATTTAATTAAATAAGATTTATGTATATTTTGTATATAAGCGTCATTAAACAATGTCCAATTTGTAAAAAATTTATTGCCAAATAATTTATCGCCGTTGAGTCTGAATTTAATTATCTAAATTCACCTATAAATTTATCCAAAGATTAATATTCAAATTAACTTTTAGGATAATGAAAGTGTCATTCAGATAAAGTCATTTTTATATTAGATAGGTGCGTTCAAATTCAAATCTTCAGATGCTGTGAAGAACATTTTTAGATTTCATAAGGATGGGTGATAATCCTATAGAATGGGAAGAACAATGATTCTCTATTATTCCTATTTATCAAAGCCTCATCCTCTTTTTCTCTCTAAACTTTTAATTAAAATCTTATTTTAAAAAAAATATATTGTAAACCATCCAAAAACATCTATATATTTGTATAATAAGGACATGACATTTCAAACTTCTCAAGGTATTTGATGAAATGCCTCAAAGAAACTTGGATGTTGGAGTTATGTTTTTGAGTAAGAATCTTGCTAAGGACATGACATTTCAAACTCTTCCTTCCGGTCAACAAATGTTTCCTCCACAAAGTGTGAGATTAATCATTCTTAAGAACCCGTATAATCGAATTGGGTGTGATAAAACTAAAGAAATGATTCGTAACTGGATAGATTTAAAGATTGAGGTTCTAAAACTCACTTGACTCTTGCGAAAGAACTTTGTTTGATTGATTGGATTAAAGATTTGGAGTGATAATCTTCTTTTGTGTTTTATTTTCTCAAAACTTTTTGATGTCCTTAGTTTGTTTAAGTTATTTATTAGTGTTGTTGTTAATTTGTGGATGGAAAATACCCTAACCCATCTTCTTTATCTATATTTATACTCTCTTTTTTTATATATTGAATGAGATTGGTTTCCTGTAAAAAAAAACAATATCACCTCTCAAAGACTAAAAAAAAATTTGTTTCAAGATTATAAATTTTACAAGACTTATTCAAATTACAAACAACTAATTTATTTCACCCGTTTACAAGATCAAGATTTGAAAATTAGTGAAGTTGATTTTCAACTCAAAGCCCTTTTCATTTCGCTTGTATTTTGAGCTAAAATATTTGTATCTTTATGTTAGTGTGAAATATGTTGTTAATTTCAAATTTGCATAGCAGTGACATGAGTCTTCAAAGGTTTGACCATCCAAACTCGACCAATTGGAGATACTTTGGGATTGTTTAGTTAAACATTTAGAGAAAAAAAAATCAATTGAAAAAATAACAAGATTAATTATCAGTAAAACAACGGTTTAATTGATATCTACTGATAGTATAATGGTGATATCTACTGATAGTTTTA